AGAGAGAGAGAGAGAGAGAGAGAGAGAGAGAGAGAGAGAGAGAGAGAGAGAGAGAGAGAGAGAGAGAGAGAGAGAGAAACAGACAGAGCAGACGCCATAAGACGCCATCAGCGAGTGTTGCTCTGCGCCGTGGCGTAGCCGTGGTGGGTTCCACTTGTTCTAGCTAAAGATTCACCCTCGTTTTGGACATTTCGAGAGTAGTGGAGCAAGGTCCATCGTTGCACTGTGTCCATGGACTACCCATGCACAAAAATAACAATGAAAAATGGCAATGTATCTTTCCATGTTCCAGCGGATGATTCAGTCTCAAGCCACATGTGGTGAGACCCGCTGGCTGTGGCATCGCGTCACCCCGAATCTGCTGAAAAGAAAAAGAAGAAAAAGAAAGGGTGAAACATCACGTGGGGTGCGCTGCTGTGTACTTGTCTTCCCTTGCGTCCCACACAGCGCCTTTGGGCCCACGAGCACCCACCCCTGCATCCTGCACAGCGCCTTCGGCCCCACGAGCACCCAGCCCTTCATCCCGCACAGCTCCTTCGGGCCCACGAGCACCCGCCCCTGCGTCCAGCACAGCGCCTTTGGGCCCACGAGCACTCGCCCCTGCGTCCCGCACAGCGCCTTTGGGCCCACGAGCACTCGCCCGAGTCCCGCACAGCGCCTTCGGGCCCACAAGCATCCGCCCCTATCCCACACCCTTTCCCAACACTGGGCGGAGTCTGGTGCGGGAGCGTCACGCGAGACCCGCTACTTGCTTAAAGAAGAGTAAGGGAAAAGAGGAAAGAAGGAGAGCAAAGAAGGAAGCCCTTTCACATCATCTTCTGTCTCTGAGTCGACGGAACAAGCGCACCCAAGCTGACCCAGTGTACCCAACGGACAAAACTGACGAAACTGATTTAGTAAGCCAACTGACAAACTGAATGAGTGAGCCAACCGATGGAACTGAACGAGTGAGCCAAACTGCCAAAACTAAATAAGTAACCCAAAACGAATGTGTTTCTATAGTAGTGAAGAACACAACAATCAGACAAGAGTCCAAGCTGAGTGCCAGCAATCAGTCAAAGGCTCAAAGCAGTAAACTGAGAGTCATAGCAATTTATCTCTGACTTCGTCTGTGACGGATCTGATTGAAATCCACAATGTAGGTATTATGAAGCAGTGAAGAGATTTGGTCATGTTCTCAAGGCTATTGGAGTCGATGCGGAACTACGGAACCGGGGCATTAAAGAGGGAGATTTGGTGGTCATCGGAGGGGTAAATTTTGCTTCTCTCTCTCTCTCTCTCTCTCTCTCTCTCTCTCTCTCTCTCTCTCTCTCTCTCTCTCTCTCTCTCTCTCTCT